TCAGTCAGCCTCTTATAGCAGCCATAACTTTGCTACTGGCCTGTCCAATACAGTTGACATACTAGACCTTGGGAGTTAGGAGGAGTCTTCAGGATACGAGACATAATCCATGAGTTCCAAGGTGCAGGGTCATCTGTAACCAAAACAGGGCCACCTGGCTGGAAATTTCTTTTCTGTCTTTCCTGGGGGTCTGGAAGATATTCTTCTGTTCACCATTTCAACCATTTTTTTTTTCACTTTGTTCCCCAGTTTGAGGAGTTGCCTATTTGTCCAAAGATGCCCTCCACTGTCATGCCAGAGGAAACAGATTACATCAGGGTTAAACCAGGAGGAGCAGCTTGGTCTCAGAATGTCCCTGCTTCGCTCAGGGACAGAGACCAGTTTGGCACAGACGGGCTTCCACTGTGTAACAATGACAATGTACCAGGTTTAGGTAGAGAAAATAAGGTGGGTCACATGAGCAAGACAAACACAGACAACGTGGTGACAAAACAGTTTGAGGATGCTGCTCAGAGTAGCTCAGGGTGTAGTGACAAAGAGAATGATGATGAAGTCACTTACACTCATGTGATCATCAAACCCAAACACAGACTTAAGTAAGTGAATCATGGGCCTGATTTTCCAGCTATCCTGGCTGAATTTAGATTCAGTTTCACAAAAGCAGTGGCACATAAGTTACCATGAAGATTTATTCTGTAGAGCAGGCCTGCTCAGGACCAGGCTAACAGCCAGGCTTGATTATTCCTGGTGCCTTATCTGTTGGAAACCAATTTATTTTTTTATTTTTATTCTTTTTTTTACAGTTATTCCATAATCTTATGTTTGTGTTTTGCCCGGTATTAGCTTGCATTAAAATACCACTGGTACATGTTAATACTGTTATTTTAACATTGCATGTTATAGACATTGTAACTGTTTGTGTTTATGAAGACTGCTATTCATGTTGTTGTTAGGTTGAGGTTTAATGAATATACTATTGCAGTTGTTTAGATGATTACAAATGGCTAATAAAGTTGCAAAGGTGTTTTAAATGAAGTCAGATATGAGGACAATTTTTCAGCCTTTTAAAGTCCTGTTTCCAGAGCTTTCACCACCTGAGGGTCAGCACACACAGGGCCTGTGACATCATTGTTGCCTGCACTTTTTTTCTTTTATAAAATTACCTGTTTCAGGATGAAAGGGCTCCCAACATAGCCTTGGACATGAAAGGGGACAATGCTGAAGAATTTCTTGATAACATCAATGGCAGACTGGTTAGAGATCAATACTTCAGTAGTTATTTTAATTGATTTATTGTCATTTATTATTGATATATTCTTTGACAATAAAGGATCATGTTACTCATCATCATTGGCTCAAGACGTTGCTTCAGGTAAGTAGATATCTGGGTAGGTACAACACTGACTCTACAGTCTGGCCTCAGTAATTTTTGGGACCCGTCAGAATGGTTCTACCTAGGTCACTCCTGTTTGCTGATGCAGGAGTGTGCTTTGCTTGGTCGAACAAAGGGGCCCAAACAGAGAATCAGAGAGAGTGATTCTCTGTCTCATTCTCACCAGGTGATGCGACGCATTGGCCCTGTTGTCCATTCAGCCCAGGACTTTACAGCATACGACATCCCTCTGCCCTTATGACCCTGGCAGCGGATAAGGAGAAACTCCCCAAAAAAAAACCCTTTAACGGGGGGAAAAAAACGGTAGAAACCTCAGGAAGAGCAACTGAGGAGGGATCCCTCTTCCAGGACGGACAGACGTGCAATAGATGTCGTACAGAACAAATCAGCATAATAAATTAACAGTAATCCACATGACACAATGAGACAGAGAGAGAGAGACAGAGAGAGAGATGCAGGTAATAACAGTAGCTTACAACAAAATTATTGAAAGTAATAATATTATAGTTATAGTTCTGGCTACTGTGGTACAATATGTTGAAAGTATGTATTAATATCTGGCAGTATACATGTGTGACAATAGTCATTTGTGTATAATAACAGTATAAGTATGACTAATGACTAATGATGGCAGCAGTCCTCTACAAGAGGGGTATATGAAATAACTGCTTCTGAAATGTAATTATGAACAACAAGTAACCTATGTTCAGTATCAGAATGCAGCCATATGCTGAATTGTGGCACAGCGACCAACTATGTTTCTGACTTGTGTTTAGTGAGTAACAATACAGTTCACAGGTCAGATCAGTATGAAGCCAAACATAAATGTACACTGACTCACAGATCTGTAGATTTAGGTCAGTGACTGCCAGCACAGCCACATACAGTATAAGTTAGCCAATGTTCCCTTGTGCCAGGCCAGTCTTGTGCTAAGTCCAACAGGAAGTGCAGTAATGCCTTTTCAATGTAAGATGATGTTTTTCATAAATTCTGTCTCTCAAAAAATATTTGCTCCTACACCGTTTATCGTAACTGCTTCAAACTTGCACACATTACAGCTCTACCCCTGGTGAACATTACTTGTGAAGGACGGTTTGGATTTTAGAAGCGTTCTAAGGTGCAGGACACAAATCCTCATGATGATCTCTGTAAGAAAAGATGAGGGCCAACACACTGTAAACTTGTGATTAAGGTCAGTTTTTTGAGTCCATAGACATACAAGCTTTATATTTCTGTGTTCAGAACAAGATTATCGATCTGGTGATGCTTTCAGATTGAAGATCGGACCCACGGTTTGGGAATTGGAAGGACTAGTTCAAGAAACTTTCAACCCATTTTGCTGTCACTCTGTCTGCCTGTCAGCCACATGCAGTCCTTAATTAGCATAACAAAAGCTTCACTCTGACACACACAAGTGTGTGTGTGTGTGTGTGTGTGTGTGTGTGTGTGTGTGTGTGTGTGTGTGTGTGTGAGAGAGTATAACATTGACCAAATTGACCAGCTCATGTGTCTCATTCCTACATTTTCCTAAATAAATGCCTGATGGCAAAAACTTGTAAATACAAGATTTCCTGGTGTAACTCTATTGCCTCATTAAGAATTGGAATCAAATCTGTAGCTACAACTGTGCTGCAGCACCACATGATTTCAAATGAATATGGATGTGTTGTTTGATTGTCACACATGTCAAAGTTTCACCAGGTCACATGGGTTATGTCTACAACGTTCAAAATATAAGCTCATACCACCTTCATAAGAACCTTTTACATTTTTAAAATTGAGCTTGACAATGATTGCATTCATTTGTTGTACACTCAAGCTTTCAACAGGTCAAGAGGTTTTAAAGTATTTTAAAAATGACCTTAAAAGTATTTCCATTAACCCTTACACCCAGCAAGGACTCAATGAGTCCTCGCTTGTTCCTCTATTGAGCAGCATTTTGGCTGCAATCATGGTTTAGCAGAATGCTTTGGGGAAGTTTTGCCTTTATCTGTTAATGTTGAAATAAAAAAAATAAATAAAAGTTGTTTTTTTCATTGTGTAATTACATTTATAGCTCTCACCCAGTAAGGACACATTGAGTCCTTGTGATGGTTGAAGTCATAACTTTGTAATGGTTTTATATTTAGAGATTTTTTTTTTTTTTGGTTATGTTATTTCACTTATCTCTCACTATGACTGTTAAATTAAAAAAAATAAAGTTTGTTAATTAACCCTTTACAGGCCGGATTCTGTGATGCACCACTCATTTTTATACAAAAACACAGGCCAAAAATTAAATATTCTGTAGTTAGAGAGGGAATTTTTGAAATGATCACAACTGTCTGAGCTCAGGCAATGTTTCTGAGGAATATTAGTTTTTATGCATTTTTACTTTTTTGCAGTGTTAGATTGAAAACAAAATATGGATTTCACCCAATTAAGGACTCATTGAGCCTCAGCCTAGTATATATTTGTGTGTGTGTGTGTGTGTGTGTGTGTGTGTGTGTGGTCACACACACCTGACAGTATAACATTTACCAAACTGTCCAGCTCACGTGGCTCATTCCTAAAACTTTTGAAATAAATGCCTGATACCAAAAACTTGTAAATACAAGATCTCCAGGTCAAACTCTTTTGCCTAACCCCTATCCCTAACCCACACATCCATATCAACATTAACATAGCATTTTTTTTATTTTTTTTTCAACAATGGCTTGCAAACCTCAATAATGGAAAAGTAGGAGAAAAATACAGGTAATTTTACTGCTTATTATTTAATGTGTGTTTGCTCTACTGGGGAAGCAGGAGAAAATAAAAATACTTCTACTGTTAATATTCTCTCTCTCTCTCTCTCTCTCTCTCTCTCTCTCTCTCTCTCTCTCTCACATGTGTCCTCTTACTGCATGTCACTAACTCGGCCGTACTGCATGTCAGTAACTCTTCTCCAGAGCCTTTGTGCTCCACTGTCTCGCAGGTTAACTTCTATCACAGTGGTGCCTGGATAGTGTGACGTGTGAGGTTGTGTTGCTGCTGTGGTGTCAAATGCCTCCTGCTGATTCTGTTATCATTAGTCATTAGTCAACTCATCAGATATTAATTCAACATATTGTACCACAATATCTAGAATTATAATATTATTACTTTCATTAATGTTGTTGTAAGCTACTGTCATTATCGTCTGTACTACATCTCTCTCTGTCTCCCCTTCTGTGTCATTGGATCCTGAGGACAGAGGGATGTTGTATGCTGTAAAGCCCTGTGAGGCAAATTGTGAGTTGTGAGATTGATTGATTGACTGATTGATTGATTGATTGATGTCCTCGTCAGTAGTTTGGTTTTCAGAAGCCATCAAAGTTCTACTCCCAAGTCATGGGTTCATTGCCAAAAATGACCTTGCGTTATACTGACATAGCTTGTTTTATCAACATTTTGCCTCTCACAAATAATTCAAAATCTCTATGTGAGCTGGAAGCCGAAAAAGCGTGAAGCCGAGGTCCCGACAACGCTGCTCGCAGCTTTAATTATATGTGATGTGGCCTTTTCATCTTTTCAAATAACAACACCACAGGTGCAGATGCTGTTGCATTTAGACTTTATTCACACTTAAGTCAAACACACCAAGACACCACACAACGTGAGGTTGACAACTACAGAAAAGCTTCATGTCTTAAACAAAGTTAATTGCTTTTCCTTTTAAAGCATGCAGCGATATACTAAAATCTGAATTAATCAATATTTCGATATGAAAGGGAGATTGTCTAAGTAATACATGTAGGTCCGTGTAACACAGTAAACTTGAGCAAAAACAAAAAGCATTTGTGACATGCTTCAATTGTGATAAGAGTTCAGCAGGTTAAAGAGCCAATGGATAAAAAGGCCATGTCAAATTATGGATAGTTTTGTAACAAAGTTAGCAACCTGACAGAAAAGACAGTCAAAGTAATATACTTATATTTAATCAAAAAAGGCTTGTTTCCCCCTCATCTTTTGTTACACTGCAGTGGGAATTTACTTAAATGCCTATATAAAAAATTGCATTCTTTCATTATGTGGCTTTTTTTTAAAAATACTATATCCTTAAATCAACCCTCCTGTTTTTATAGTCGTAGCAAAATAAGGGTAAGAAAAATATGGGACAGATTTTTAAAAAATTATTTAGAAATTCTGCGAAGACAGCACAAACAGTTCACACCAGATCAGTGTCTCTATAAGAAATAAAATCAAGGAAAGTCTTTCTGTAACAGGTAGCATTTCCTGGTATTACATGTCTTAGAACTCACTATTATGGTTAATGGTCAGCATTAAAGCATTTGACACGTTTAACACTGTTTTCAGGTTTGGATGGTAGGGTTGGCAGCCTTGGCAGTCCCTTTCATCAGTCCTTCTCTGCATCTGTTGAGAAGCTCCTGCCATCTCCATTTTGCCAAAGTCAAAGGTCATGGCACTGAAATACTCGGGCAGACATCAGTAGTCAGAGGCCAATTCTTCCAAACTACTGTTAATAAAGACTGTTAAAACAAAGGGACAAGAATGAAACAGTCATGAAATGTCAGTTTTAGGCATACATTCAAACAAGCAACATATGGAGTAGGAATAGGAAGGAAGTATAGTATACATGTGGTAAAGGGATGGCTGAGTGATATACAAACATAAGGTGCAACATCCCTGGTTCCATATTTGTTGCAAATCAATCTCTTCCCTATCACATTCTATCTGTTTCTAGTGTACAATACATGCAGAAAGACAGAAGGACATAGAGGTAAGTTCGGTTTCTGAATATGATGACATCATAACTTCTTGAATGGGAGCTAATATAATATTGATTTATTCAGAGCTCTATTTCACATGTCAATGTGATTTGCTTGTTCAAACTGGCTCAGCAGTCTGGAGGAAGTCAGCCTTTCTGATACTGCATGAAGAGAGAGTGATGTGTAAAATGTGGGAGTTGTGTTAGTAGTCTTGTCTTGTCATGACTTTTTCAGACTGTATGTAGAAACGTGTATCATGACCAGATTTTCAGCAAATGTTGGGCCATTTTGCAGGCAAGCTGCTAGCGTTTAGACACACAGAGCCGGATTGGCGAGTTGAGCTGAGGTGCCCAATTTTCCGCCACGTAGGGGTAGACATATTGGCGGAACTTTTTTGGTTTAAAAAGAACGAGGCGCCCTTCCACCATGGGAGGGGCTGTTTATGACTTATGGGAGGAGCTGTTGATGACACCGCACATGCGACCCACAGGCGGTGGACCAACAGAAACAGCTGATAGCAGGAATGAACAGCTAGTAGCAAGAGGGAAACACAAACCTGAAAGACACTAAAGATGAGCAACTGGGGAGACAAGAAACTGCGCGCCCTCCTTGCCCTCGCAAACGAAGAGGCCGCCGTGGCTTCCCCTCACAGTACATCACTGTTTTTGTCACACACAGAGCTACACGTTTTGTTACTTGCTCACGCCCCCCATTGCCCCGAAAAAGGCACATTCTGTATGAACAAAAGTAGGCAGGCAGCATTTTGCTGCACTCCCTGATTTTGTTTTTATACTGCCAATGCTGAACAAAGACTGATTGGGCTTTCCTGCAAATTTGCACAATTCCTATTTAAAAAGGACTATAGTTGTGTGTGAGACAAACTTCCCAGAAACATGACAAACGCTGGTTTTGTGGACTATTGCAAAATTTCCCTAAAGTTTCCATTTGAAATTATAAATCCTATAACATGGTGACTGACACCAAAGTAGGGGCACATACTGTACTCCAGGGGCTGTCCTGGGCTGAAAATACACAGAAAAGCTTGGGGATACCTTAAGTTTGTAGACCACAAGATAACAAAACTGAGTATACCCTACAGCAAGGTGCAGGAAGACAGGAATTATTGAACTGCCATCATGATGAGCAAAGTTAGCGTACAGTTAGCAATGAACTTCCCATAACAATATTCACAATTTGGATTCATTTTATGTAAAAACCCTTTTGGTTTGTTTGATCCGTGGACCCTTATGGGCTAAAGGAATATAAATGATGATTTGACACATATGAATTGAACTGAATTGAATTGAGTCACACACACAAAAGAAGTACAGGTTCTGTTCACATGATTCATTAGTAGCATGTGTGAATCAGGTCTCCCAGGAAGCTATTTAAAGCTTATTTTAGGGAGCCTGATGCATAAGGCCATCAAAAATAGTCAATCGGAATATCGGACATAACATACATGACAATACAGTAACATTTACATCCATACCACAAATAACATAAAACAAATAACATAAAACACAAAAGACAAAAGCATTGCCCATTTACTGGTTTGGGTTTCAGTCCAGTGTTATTAGGGCCCGAGCAGGAGACCTGCGAGGTCCCTATTGTTTTTCGAATGATTATTAGGGCCCAAGCGACGACAAAGTCGTCTGTGAGGACCCTATTGTAATCGCGCTGTTTATTAGGGCCTGAGTGACGACGAAGTCGTCCAAGAACCCTATTGAAATCGCGCTGTTTATTATTTTTAGGGCGCGAGCGACGACGAAGTCGTTGGAGAGGACCCTATTGTAATCGCACTGTTTATTAGGGTCCGAGCGACGACAAAGTCGTCCGTGAGGACCCTATTGTAATCGCGCTGTTTATTAGGGGGCCAAACCCGAGGGGCCAAGGGAATACGTATGCAAGCAGACACGTTTCCTAGGACCAGCGGTGCTAGGAACCCTATTGTTTTTGTAAAGATTTTTATTTTTATTCTTCCATAGGTAAAAGTGTTGCTGCAGGCTAAACCGTGCAAGGGAGGGTGGTGCAATTTGGAGGGGTGGTCCAGACCCCTGCACGCACTTCAGACGCAAAAAACTATGTATATCTGCCTACAGGGGGCGCTATAACCTAGGCCAATGCGTTTTTGCCTATAGCTCCCACACCGTATGTCGCACATTCAAAAATCTTGTATCGCTGGCTTCCCTGAATAGAGCTGAATCACTTTGCCATAGGCCATGCCTACTTGCGCCTAGGAAGTTTTTTCGCAAAATCGCAAAAACTGGAAAACCTACTTTTTCGAACTTCTCCTTGGGATTTTGTCCAATCTGCGTGAAACTTGACATATACACTCTTCTACCGGACCTGATCTAAAGTTATCAAAAGAATTTTATTAGGTCAAAAAATGTGCAAATTATTAACAAACAAACTTCTATAGCTAGCTATGAAAATGCAAACTGTTGGATATCTCGGTCAAACTAAATGCTATTAACACCAAATTTGAGGGTATGAACCGAATTTGGCGAATTTTGACAACTAGGGGGCGCTACAAATATGGTAAGTTTAGATCTCTTGAACGGCTGCACCGATTCCTACGAAATTCGGGTGGTATGAAGTAGGGCCAATTCTGAGGTCATATCTTGAAGGTGGTCATGACTGGTCAATGTGGGCGTGGCGTATTACAAGATAAACAACAAACATTAATTTCAGCCAAAGTATTATGCTGAGGGCTTTGAAATTTAAAGGGTACATATGGAATAGGACACAGATCTCCCGTACCAAAAATTGCACATATACTCCATTAGCTGGCGCTATAACGGATGCAAACGCGTTTTTGCCTGCAACTTACACATTTTAACACTTTCACAAACATTATATCCATGTGTTCCCTGGATAGAGCTGGGTTGTCTGACACAGGCCCCGCCCACTTTTGCTGCACATTCTCTTTGCTAATTTGCCACATGTCCAAAACCTACTTTTTCAAACTCCTCCTACATTTTAAGTGCCACCTGCCTGAAACTTTGCACATAGAATCTCCAGATGTGTCTGATGAAAAGTTATAAAAAGAATTTTGGCACTCCAAAAAATGCGCTTGTTACAACCAAACAATCTTTTTTGCTAGCTAAAAAACACACATTGTTTCATATTTCGTTCAAAGTAGATGCTTTCAACATCAAACTTAAGTCACTCATTCCCGAGGTCATCCAGATGCTTTGTGCCAAAGTCGTCGCAAATTGGTCTATAGGTGGCGCTATAACGGATGCGAATGCAGTTTTGCCTGTAACTTCCACATTTTAAATGACACATTCATAAACATGTGCTCACCCAGAGCCCGTCGTCCTTCAGGGACAACTTCCATGGGCTCCGCGGGATGCGGGGACTGAGTCACACAGGGGTGCTTGGCCCCCGTTCATAACTGCTTGCAGTTCTAGTTATTATTAGGGACCGAGCCTAGAGGCAGAGAACTGCTCTGAGGACCGCCTCTTTGAACTGGAATTTGACCCCCTAAACATGCTCAAAAATTCAACAAAATTGGCACGCATATCAGAACTGGTGAAAATTTTTAGAAAATCATGAAATTAACCCCTAAAGTGCCAAAATGGGCTCTCTAGCGCCACCTAGGCACACAAAAATGGCCGCTACGGCCTGTAGGAATGTCGTACAAACATGAAACCAAAACTGCCGTGTTTGTCTCATGAAGACCTAAAAATCACGCGCTGACACCCCTGACCTAAATCCAACAGGAAGTGAGCTATTTGCCCTTTCAAAGTCAGATTTTGCCTTAAAACTGCCTTTCCTAAAAAATCTTGTTGTCATACACCGTTTATCCTATCGGCTTCAAACTTGCACAGATGACAGATCAACTCGTTCTAATCAGACCTTATTTATAACTTTTTCATTACTCGATTAGTTTGGATTTTATGGCCTCCTAAAGGTGAGATGTCAGAAAAACGTCCTGACGATCTTCGAAAGCTGTCCCATAGGAAATGAATGGCAGCAGGGGGGAGAAAGAGACCAATATTAGGGCTTTTTCTAGCGTTTACAGCGTCTCCATACTTTGTGCTACAAACTCCATTCCAACTCTCAAATGTTGCCACAGGTCTCATCTATTCAGACCTGTTTTCATCTTTTTGATATCTTTTACCGTTTTTAATCTGTGCCTCTCAAAGTACCATGAGCAAAAGTGGAGAAATTGTCAGTTTATAATGGGTGTAAAAATCGTCTAAAACTTTTGTCTTTAACTCGCTGCCATGGCCACAATTTTCACTGTACAGACACAATTTATACCACAAAACGTAGGAAAATTTGTCCAGCTCACAGATATGTTGACATGGAATCTCTCACACGTACACATTTTTGCTGAGGGGCTCCAAAGCGAAGGGAGTGCTGATTTTTTTCTCATTCACTCCCATGTAAACTCAGAGGAGAAATTTCTGGAAACAGCTGGGGTGCAACACATTTTAAACTCACTCCCCTGACCACATTTTTGACTCGAGAAATATAAAACGCAACACGTGCGTTTACGAGACGTGGCTATCTCTCAAAATCACTTTATTTTCTTGCTTGGACCAACGGTTTGGGTATGCGAAGCATTTGTTCAAGGAGTTAAATCCCTTTATAAACAGCCTTTGGTGATCTGCTCTCCTGACATGTCTGTGTCTGCCACAGGTGCGGGCAAGTCATTAATTGCCATGACAACGGCTGCACACACAGACACAGCCACAGGGTTCTCTGGTCTGTGTGTCTCACAGTCTTTAAAGGACAGATTACAGCAG